TTTTCGGTGTCTTCTGCCTGCGCGGTCGCAGCGGCTACGGCGGCAAGCATCGCCGTCACCATCGCCGCGAGATGAGTAGTTGGCAAAAATGTTTGAATGCGATCACGAACTTGACCTTTCACATAACCTTTGAGGCAGTCATTCAGTCAAACCGCCGACGAAACAACAACAATCACACGGACCAGAATCACATCAAGAAGAGCAGTTTGAACAACAACAACAACAAAATCAGCAGCAGCAGCAATAAAAAACAACAAAAGTAACAGCAACAGCAGCAACAGCGTCAGCCTTAACACATCCTTTTTGTTTTTGTTTTTGTTTTTGTTGCTTTTTGATTCACCCGCGTTTTTTCTCAACTACTGACGCTTTGATGTTAATGTTGCTGCTGCCGCTGCTGTCCTCATTGTTCTGTCAAAGTTCCGCGGTTGCATTACCGGATGCGAATGGGCATGCGGATAGGAGCGCTGCGCTTAGACGCGCTTAGACGGTTCAGTGTCTTAAATGCCGCGCAGCCGCACTGCCGCACTACTAAGCAAATACAATATCATTGGGAATCATATCACAAAGAAATGACGGCAGCAGAGAGGGCGAGGGCGCGGGCAAGGACGAGGTGGAAACCAAGGTGGGGAAACAGTACTGCAAACATGGGCTTGGTGCCAAAAACATTTTCAAAGAGCAATAAAAAAACGCCCGATAGACGAAATGATACTGGCTGGGAGCTACTTTTCTGTGTGTGAATTTTATGACAAAAGTTCGATTGACAGAGCGATCGTTTCTCTATTGCGAAACGATGATTTTTTTTTTTTTGCTAAGTTAGCCATTTAGATTTTGGTTTTGTGGGAATCATATGAAGTGAGCAGAATTTTCAAAGTGATATTCAACAGCGATTTATTGATTATTTTAAAACTGATTTAATTTATGCAGAAAACTTTTATTATGGACAAAGCCTAGATGGAATATGAAAATTAGAGGCCACAGGGCATGCATATACATACATATGTATGTATGTATTTGCGAATCTATATTTGTATGTATGTATGTACATATGCACGTATGTAAACAAATACATATGTCAAAGGCCAAATATATTTTTATGTGCATACCAGTGCATATCGACGCCTGAGTGGAAGATCGACCTATCTCGGCAGCCGGTCAGGTTTTGGTTCAAAAACGCCTTCAACTGAAAATACTACCTGGCCCAGCTTTACTTTATACACTTTGAAATATTTCTGCTTCACGATTGTATGAAAGAAAAGTTGGAAGTGTATGAACTAAAGGTCAAATAATAATTATTTCGGTTGAGCGAAAAAATAAAACTCAATAATAGTTATTATTTTTAAGCGAAATACTGATTTAAATTATTTTACTCATAATGATTACCGTTACATTTGGTCATATGTGCACTCAAACAAACATATCTACAAATAATACATACATACATACATACATATGCATGCAGTATGTATGAATCCACACACTAGTCTAGAAGTCGACGCGAAGTCGCATTTTCTGATGGACCTGTCAAAGTATGCAATTAATGAAATCGTGTGGCGACGCTGACTATAGCTGCTGAACATTTAATTGACAGCTGTTTTTACCTTGCGGTATTTTGGCGTCGATATCACACACCAAATAGATGCCTATAATGTACACAACTACATATATACATATATAAATTTAAAAAAAAATCCTAAAAGATCAGAGTTGCACTTTAGTGGTTGGGGTCAGTCTCTACGCCGGATTGCAGTAATTACATAGCCACCATGCCATATTTATTTTTTTGCGGTTTTAACGACCTATCTGAAGAAATTCGGAACAATCCACCGCTCGACCAGCACGGTGCACGAATAGCTGAAAAAACCACAAAACTGCTGCTGACCATTTTCGGATGAACGCATGCGCCAACTACCTCGGGATCAGCCTCTTAAACGTTGCGTATGTACAAGGTCTAATCGAGCATATTATGTATGTGAAAGGCTAAAGCCCACCGTCAACAAATGGACTCGAAGCATTTCAGCCCTACAAGTATGTATATAACGCGGTACCCGCAGGTGGTAGCAGAGGAAGAGGCTTCACTTGGCATTTCCAGCATTCGTTATTTGGCGCAGGAAAAAAAAACGAATGGCGTGCTTTGTTGGACTCGACCAATGTCATTGAGTCGGACAAATAGGGAGAAGAAGAGAAATTTAATAGGCTAAAACGTTTATTTTAACGTTTTAACACTGTTTACTACATTTCACATAATGACTTTCGATGCTGCTGGGTGTATTAATCTCAATCATTATAATTAGTCAAGATTTTCTACGATGTTTCCATCGTTCGTTTGGCTTCAAAACTTTGCTGCTGTAAATACATACATAAGTATATAGCATAGACTTATGTATATACAAAGCTTTTTATGTACAGTGCTGTGAAGAGCAATAGACACAAAAGCTGACAAAACATTTCGAAATTCATTACGTCCGCGTCGTTTGTCCCCGATAACGCTGTAATCGGATTGTATTATAAGCGACACTTTCCTCAAAACCAGTTTTTGTCCATAAAGTGAATTTTATAATTTAACCTTGAGAAGTTGTTGTTGGGTTTCCTTGTTGTTTTGTCGAGGAGTTTCTACCCAGGGTCATCTTCTATTTAGTGTACATATATGTATGTACATACATATTTAAATAAAATTATTTTTTGAGATCGTGGTGCGATAAAGGTGTTATGCTCTCGGGCAAAAGAGCTGATCAGCTCAAACCAACTAATGTTATCAAAGTTGTTGCTTGAGCAGCATCTTCTGCCCGAGAGCCAGGTCACTTGCTGAAGTTGATGAATACCCTATTGTTTTAATTTCAAGGCATTTTGGGTATTAATCAGGCGGCATAAACAAATATTTGAGACCAAGGTTGCATTGAAACGTTAATTTTAGCGTTTCCAAAAATTAAGCAATCGTTTCTGTTGAAACGATTAAGTTTTTTATGGTTTAGGTAATTAACAAAATAATTCTATTTTGGTTTTTAACGAAAATAAATTCAATCGTTATTGCTGAAGCTGTAGCATGCGTTTCGGTGCTAGGTGCTAACAGTGATCTGGAAATGGCGTACAACAACAACTTTTCGTTGATTTATTTTGTTTCGGTATAAACGACTAATGATTTATTTCCTTTCAACGTTAACGATTGAGTACTGTTTCGTTAATTTAGCTCTGAAACCCACTCGTGGGGAACTCGCCGATTTGCGGGGAATTTCAGTTTGCATGGGGAATCGGGGAATGGACCGTTTTCAGCTCGTTCAATTCTAGTATAACAAACTTTTTAATGGCTAAAAATTAGCTTTGAATTTTTAGAGTTTCCTTTGTCGCATTTGCTTTCACATAGCGAATAAACATAATTTATTTTTATATGGAAGAAAACCGCAGAAACTTCGGAAAAATCCTAAAATGAAAATGTTTAGCCATTTGAAACATGCACTTTATTATTCTAGAATTGGGCTACAAAATGGCATACTCAAAATGTTTCTTGGAAATCCAATTAAAAGCTCGAAATTTTCACGAAAGTTTGTTTTTTTTCAAATATTGCACAAAGTTTGAAACTTGGATTTATACAGTTTGTGTTAAAAAACTAACTATATTTTTATAAAAAAATATTTTTATTCTTTATTTGTTAACTAACTTTATAAAAGTTTGGTTTGGTTTATCAATACGTAGATGAATTACGTTTAAAAATAAAATTAACAGCAAGACCAGTAATGTATAAAAATTCCTTCTTTTTTGTTTTGTACGTAAGGAAATATCTATGGGGTGGGGAGTTTTACGAAATTTCGGGCAAATCGGGGAATTTCATTGTAGAAATCGGGGGAATTCTCAAAAATGAGTTGGCTACCCTGCTCTGAAACGTAACGAAATTATTTTGATAAGTAATTTTTGCGCATCAACAAAACGAAATGCATTCATATAGTTTGTTTTGAGCCTCTCTGTTTGAGACTCGTAGAATACGTCTTATGAGCGATCGTTTTCGATGCCATTGTTAAGCACAACACTGTTTGCGTATGTACATACATACATACATACATATGTATGTATGAATTTTTAATAAGCGTAGATCTTGACAAAATTAATGATACCTCAACATAAACCGCGTTAATTAGCTAATACCCGTTTAACATTCATTAATTTGGAAACGAAATCATTCAAGTGTCGGGTGTTTAGTGGGCTAAAAACGGTACACTGTAATTTCTGTTTTACAGTATTGAAAAGCTATTCAGCCACTGGCATAATTTCGGTAATTATTCGTGGCCATAAGCGAAGTCGATTTTTGCATTTTTCGAAGATGATGCCACCACATATGTACGTCAAAATTTGATAGCAAACAACAACATTGCGTGAGTTAGAGAACGTATAGGTTAAATATTTCCTTAATTAAATTACTATCCAACTTTGTTTCCATTGCCGTATCTCAATATTAACGTAGAGCTAATGCTTCAATTTGTTTGACAAAAAATTATAGAAAATTTGCAGCAATATCGTATTAATGCTTACCAATATTGAGCGTTTCAAAAAAAAAAATAATACTAACTAATGGATAACTTTTACCATCGGTATTTTTTTTTTTGAAATTCCGTAAGTTAGGTTGACCTTATGACATTCTTTCACCAGAGTAAAATATCAAATTTTCCTACATGTTACATATCGTCGGCTGAGTGGAAGATCGCCCTATCTTGGCTGCCGATTCGAAAACTCCCTATCTCAATATATGTAAATTCAATATATCGGCAGTTGAGTTAGGACGTTTTTTTGAACCAAATTCTGAGATATAATGTTTGTAAAAACATTTGCGGAGATAGGACGTTTTGGTACCGGCAGCCGAGATAGGGAAATCTTCCACTCAGCCGTCGATATGCGCTGGTGATAAAGCATTAAAAAAAAAAATAGGCGAAACTGTTAATTGTGGTTCATTAGTGCAAATTTCTTAGAATAAATTATGTACAAAGTAATTCCAGCTGATTAATCGTTTTTTTTTTTTTTTTTTNAGCTAAGGTCAACTGGTTCCATTTGAACCGGAGGTCCCTCTGCCTGTAATGAAATAAAAAATAATTATAATTAAATTTACAGAAATGTACACACATACATATGTACATATGTATGTAGATAGATCTAACGAGTTAGTAAGAAAAATTCATACAAACATACATACGTATGTATATTCAATGCTAATAGTAGATTTGCAAAATCATCTAGGGAGCGTCCCTACTTTTGTCACTGTTGCGAACTTCTTCGTTTCTGTTCGTCTGTCAAGCGAAAATACATTGTTTTGTCTCTGATAAAATACGCAATGTACCGATTTGCAACTGTTTGTATATATTTACGTATATTTACGTATATGTATGTATATTGAGATGTTTTAATACGAATTAATTGCCAAAATCTCGATTGCTTATTTGTTAAGTGCAATTAAGATACATTTCATAGCAGAAATACCGTCGGAGCTTTTGCATTGGCTGCCGAGGGGCGACTGCGAAAAAACTTTGGGATCGAACCCAGCTCCTACGGAGTGGTACCTATGACCAATCCGCCGCAGCGGCATATTAAAAATATCGTATAATTTAGCAAATCACCAGATGATAAAAAAGTACTTTGTAAACAAAAATTGCTCCAGAAATATGTTGAATAACAAAACTAATGTGTTAACGCAATTAATTTGAGTGTTTGAATTCATTGTTTGTGCCGTTAATGTTTGTACTTTTCATAACACAAAACGCCGGTGGGAAGTAAACACGGAACAACGCGCGAACATCTTTCCACTTGTAACGAAAATTATTAAAATGTCAACCGGCGATGTGCGAGTAGGCGATTCTAACAGCATGTGGTTGATATCAAGCATGATCTTCATGCACTTACTCGCATGCATTTGTATGTGTGTAGGTATGCTTGTAAATGTATGTATGTACGTATGTTTGTATAGTTATGCATTCACCCTGCAGGGAAACCGTCTGGTAACACATTTGCAAGTTGCAACAGACGGGGAATATGCAATTGCAATAATAAGTATGCAACGTTGTTATTTGCTTTTTTAGCTTGTAAACTTCTTACCTTAGATTCAAATTCAATGTGGGTGTAAATTGGCTCAGTTCGATTAACCTTTATGACGCATCTTGACCGCATTACGGATCCGGCAGACTGATTAAAGCTTTTTTGTGGCGCGCAGAAACTAAACTTTTAGGAATTCGTTGAATTTATTATGATATATTTTTTTTGTTTACGGAAGTATGGATTTATTTCTAATGCATTTGTATAACGAATATAAAAAGCTAGATCAGGTTAGCTATTAAAATCAATTCCAATTGACGATCGTCAATAAACGATTGGCTTTCAATACAAACTCTGGTTGCACATTATTGTTGCGCGCGCCGACAAGCCGACAAATAAAGCCAAGTGATTTATAATGGCAATTTCGTTGACTTAATAGATAACATGCGAGTGGCGAGTGCAGCAAGTACCACAAACAAGAACTAGAGCGTTGCATTGGCATGTACCAACAACGTAAATGTGGCTATCGTTAGTGTATCAATGTCGAGGAAAAAAGCGCACTTGAAAGAAATAGATCACGCACTTACTACATACATATGTACATATTGCAATATAAATGTATGTAGCTGCAATAAATAGCCAATAGCCATAACATATGAGGCGAACATAGTTTACTAATTTGCCATCAATTACAGTACATAACGCAATAATTTTGATACAATGTTTACTCAATTAGTCGCAGACGTGTTTTACAGCTTTGTCACGCATACATACATATGTACTTATGAAGGTTGGTAGCGCTTTTATTAGGGAAACAATACAACAAATGGGGAATAACAATATTTGGATGCACTGTTATACTCGGCACAGAAAATATTTCAAATTTGAAGAAGACAAAAAAAAGGTATTTATGTAATACACCGAGCTACCTATTCGATAAAAATTCCAAAAATATCCCAGATGAAGCGTTACTAGAACGCATGCGTACCGATTTAAAATGGAACGGAACGAAACTACACGAAATAGGGAACGTAAAAATATTTTGGTCTTGCATTATTTTAGGACCTGCAACGGTATAATGAAATCAAGGAAATAAAAAATTTTGTACTAATTCCACAACTGAAACACGGTTGTCATCACGTGAGATACGATCGATTTGCTTTGTACCACCTATTGTGTCGATTAAAATTATTCAAAGGACCATTTCCTTCCTTCGATAAAAGTGAATTTGGAAAATATTTCAAAATTGTCGGTATCATTTTGTTTGAAAAAAAAAAAAAAAAATGAAACCAAAGGCAAAAAAAGAAAACTGACCCCAAATGAAACAGATTGTACAGGACATTTATTAAAACTACGTGCAACAAAATATGAAAACAAAATTGGCCTGTGAAAATCAAAAATTCGTATTATCAACACCTTTCTGGTTTCTATTCTCGCAAAATAAAACTACATAAATATATGAAAGATTTCACGATACAATCAGAATTGTCTGCGAATTCATCGAACTTTCGTGAATACTGTAAATTTCAACTTAAGATACTAGAACAAAAGCAAAAAATTTTCTCGAAAAGAAAGGTGGCTCGTCTGAAGTTGAAGAAGTACATTTGCTGACAAAAAGCCTGCAACCACACTGCGAAAAAACTGGTACCCAACAGAGAAGATAGTACGTCAATATGTATAGGTTCCACCAAGATCGCTGCGAACTCGCCAATACGCGGATATCGGCGTACACCAAATCGGTTACTAATCGCAGCACTAAAACAACCGCAAGCAGATATTCTGATGGTTAATGAATTCACCCTGACGGCCAAATCGCAGCACAGGTACCAATTTTGCCCAAAATGTGGTACCTGTTGGAATCGAGACGCCAATGCTGGGAAAAACGTTCTCTACCTGGGAGAATGTAACGGGTGATTTTTTTGAGGTTAGGATTTTCATGCATTAGTATTTGACAGATCACGTGGGATTTCAGACATGGTGTCAAAGAGAAAGATGCTCAGTATGCTTTGACATTTCATCATGAATAGACTTACTAACGAGCAACGCTTGCAAATCATTGAATTTTATTACCAAAATCAGTGTTCGGTTCGAAATGTGTTTCGCAAACCCAATTGCTGCGAACGGCGACGAATCGACATTTCACGGTCTTCAGCAACACTCTCAGAAACAGACGCAATATTCTCTTCATCAAGCAAAACGAAAAACACGAAAATTTTCGAAATAAAGATGTCACTATTTCTTGTATAACGGCAACTGTGTACAACTGACTGGCAACAGTTTAACTTCAATGTTATAGAAAAAAAAAAATAATAATAATTTAAAAACAAACGCGAATTTTTAGCGTCTTGAAATTTGCTCTTTATGCTACCAACATTTAATTAAAAATAAATCTGAATAGAAACAAAACAAAAAGAGCCAAATTCTATAAAATAAATTGTCGAGCATACTTTATATCAGGGACTGAGAACAAAAGACATGTTCGAAGCCAACACTGGTTTTCAGTAAGCAGTCTCTTTTCGTGGTGAATATCGATTTTGAGATTATTTGGTATTCAGTAAGCTGTCTCACGTCACTTATTTGTCAGCTAGCTCTGAGCAGGCCACAAAAAGGAAAATATGGAGGAAAAGATTAAAGATTCTTATTTTATTAAAAAGATAAACGCAAAAATGAAGCTAGGAAATATTTGTTCAACAACAATTTCATAAGGGAATAAGCCGAAATACTCTAATACCATATAAAAATCATTAGAAAACATATTTTCTTTTGTTTTTAAGACATTAAAATCTAAAATTTAAACGAAAAAAAAACAACTGCTGCCCGAGGAGGACTCGAATTCAGATCTCTGGAGTGGCATTCTAGGGCTTTGCCCCCTCTCTTACTGAATACCCAAATCATCTCAAGTCACTAATTTCTAGTCTCAAATTTAGCATTCATACATAAAAGCATATGCTTATACTTGCAAAATATGGAGGAAATCCTCCTGTCTGTATTCATAAAAATTTCGAGCAGATGGTTATATATTTTTCAAGTAGAAGCATATCTTTCTACTCATATAAAAGTAAATGGAGAAATTTGTGAAGGCGTCTTGTAATCTGTGCATAAAATCTAAGTATGTTTGCGACATCTCAGTGGTCCTGGATATCGGATATGTTGTTGTTCTTCTCTTTTGTCCTCACTGTTGTTTGGCTCACTGAATACCAGGGTAAATTTCAAAAAAACCTTCCGCAGTGTTTTACCTAAAATTTTAGGAATATCTGACAAAGAACAAAACGGGAACAAATCTTTTCTGTACATACTTTTTAACGAAAGACTTAAGACACGAACTTTTTTTTTTTTTTTTTTTTTTTTTTTTTTTTTTTTTTTTTTTTTTNTGAAGTTGTTCCATAAATGGACAGTTTGCCCTAATGATAAACGATGTGGAAGTTTAAATGATCTAGCTTTTCTCTGGCTTAGAATTAAAATTATGATTCGCACTGAACCGCTCGTGCAAGTGCGCTCGGGTATTAAAATATCAATAACTACTTGCCGTCGCTTGGTTGCGATCTTTATTTAACCCTCTGCGACTGACGTGGTAGTCTGACAGACACCGAAGGTTCGACATTTTTCCCGAAATTTCCAGTTTAAATCGAAGAAAAGTTTATTAATATATATCGAACATATATATATTTTTATCTGGAAAATTCGGTCTCGTCAGTAGCAGAAGGTTAAGATAACAAACCAAATTCTACACAATATTGCAAGATATTTGATGCAAGTTTACTCACCTCCTTCGCTGGCAGAGGGTCAGGTCCCAGGCCATTCTGAAAAAGAAGTTACGCGTTAGTTTCATGCATGTGCATTTAATTATTTATTCAACTAAAAAAACCACACTTATTCATATACATACAGATATTTTTTTCTATCAATGTAGGTATGTGTGTACGTATGAATGTATGTGTTGATGTGTGTAGGCCGGATATTGGCTAAATTAATGATTGCCATTAAAATACAAATCTGAAATCAGCAAATGATAATTAATAGATCGATGGAGTTAACTAACCATTTGCATGGTTTTTAGGCTACACCTCGTGTACGAAAAAGAACTTTGGCGGCATGGCAGGATCTTATGCACTACCACTTACATACGTACGAGTACATACATATGTATGTACATATAAAGCGATGTGCTTGAGTAATCCCTCAAGAAACTCACATCAGCCTGACCAGTGGCGGCATTACCATTGCGAATTGCAACCGAAAGCGCATTAAAACCATGAGGCATTCACATTCAGATTTGCTTCTAAATACAAGTACTTATATACATATGTATGTATATACGTAAATGCCTGCGTACCTAACAGTTAGAGCTTAACAGTGTTCTTTTTTCTTATCGGCCATTATAGTTTAAATTATTTCCAACGAAACCCTGGTTGTAAACTTGATAAATATTTGTCTACAAACATATTTCCTATGCAAATCCTGAACAAAATCATATCAATAGATATATACATAGGCATTTGTTTTCGTACCTCAAGCACCGACTACAACATATTTAGTTGCATTGTATACCTATAAATATTTTCTGTTGGGAGATTTTGCAATTGCAATTCAGATTTATGCATTTGGGATCCTTTAACTCTAAGCACATGGTTAAGCGCCGACCTCCTGTTGCAATTGAAATTGTGCACTTAGCAAGCGTTTCAAAACATTTGTTGGCTTTTTATTACATGCTTATTATTATGAGCAGCTACCTTGAAAGTTACGAGGTGGTTAGGAATCATTCAGTAAAAATCTCCTGTTCCTTACAGCAAATCGCTGCTAATTGCCTCTTTGTGTTTTAAGACTTTTACCAATAAATTTTTAATGACAACACTTAGCCGAGTATGTATATTGGCTGAGCTATTGTGGAAGAGTCGATTACCATAATGCCCGTCGCTACTGCACTTGCATCTGAAACAAGCGACTAAGCTTCGTAATCGCTACTGTGCAACATTAACTGCAACAGCAACTATAAAATTCATTTTTACACGCGCGGCTTTACGAGAAAACAAGAAGAGTCAAATGCTCGTAACATTTGTACAAATGGTATTTAATTTAATTTAATTCTAAAGCGTTTCGAATGATGCAAAGAGAATTTTTCCAGCGGCTCCTTTCGAACAGGTATGAAATTAAGGATACCGACAAAAAACGTATATACGTATGTACATATGTATGTGCATATATTTACACCTAAGGGAACACTTTGGATGATCCTTGACTTACTCTTCGCCCATACTTTAAGCTATTTCTCACGAATACGATTCATTTAATCTGTTAGATTTTCGCTGTCAATGAAATTTTATGATAGCTCTGTGCTTACCTATTCGTTTCCTTCATGTTCCTGGTACCCCGGTACAAGGCGCAGTAGTACTATTCTTGGTCTCAAGAGCGTTTAGGGTATTGAAGAAATATTATAACAGCTTTGATGGCGCTATGTGGGACTTCAGTGCTAGTAAGGCGGCCTGACTCTCAGACATAAGGTAGATGTATTTCGAAGATGTGCCTCTCCTAAGGCATTCTTTGCCACAGATTTCTTTTGAAAAATTGATGGTTACCTACCATACTGGATAAAAGCCTTCAACCTTGATATACCTTGTAGCACTCAAGTGAGACACTTGGGGTCCTTTTGGATAGGAGCAGAGAAAGACTGAAACTGATTGCTTTTAAAATACCTATTGTGGGCTTATATTCAAAAAGTGCAATCTTGCATTTACACAAAAAGTACTTTGTTTGGTTAGAATATGTTTCAGACTGAACTGTCATCACTAAAGTTTTTTCTAACCATCTATATCGCTTGTTAGAACTTGAAGTCTCGAATTTTATTTTTATACTAAATCGCCACGTGTAAACAGGGTCGGCCACCTTTTTGCTATTCAACTCCTCATCGACCTTTTAATTCGACTAGTTGTCTGTAAAAAGTTGAACCATGTATCTAAACACGCTTTAAGGCCTACTTGATCTACAAATTATTTCATGCTTGAAAATCTAGAGTTTTTGGCTAAAATTCGAATTTGAAAATAGTCCCACCGGCCACATTCAATCAAATAAGAGTTGCAAATAATTTAGAAATTGTTTTGATATTTTTTTGAAAGGGATTCTATTCAATAGTTACATGCATAAGTATTTGTAATTCACAGTTGATAAAATTCTGGATTCAAATGCCCCACCAGTCACAATCTAATGCCCCTACTTTGAAATACATAGTAGGCCCACATCCATTCAAAATACATAGTATACAGCATTGTATCTTTAAATAAAAATGAAAAACAAGTTGCCCAATCAAGGTTGAACTAAAAAAATGTGCAAAAAAATTAAAAAAAAAATTGTACTCGTAACTCGATAAAAAATTCAACAAGACTATGATTTAAAAGATATGCGTTTATTGATTTCCCCCATGGAACTGTCGAAAAGTACAAGACAATGTTGATGTTATTTATGTCACTTAGTCGTACAAAATAGATTTCTAGATGTCCAGTGCGACATTTGTTAAATAAAATGATCACGCTCTCCGTATATTCCATCTGTCAACAGTGGCAGTCTTCAGTGGGAATCTCTGCAATAATTGGTGTAGTTAATCTGTGCAAAGTGCCAGCAGCTGTCAGTGAAACATAAGGCGCTGCCACTTTAAGTTCAAATCGGTGTTGATCCAAATGCCAATTGAATCGCCGCGAATTAAATGGAATCACACGGAGTGATAAGCTTTTTAAACTATAGTCGACCGCTGTGAGATTTATGGGAACGATTTTCAGTCGCAAGTGGCATTCCAATGGGCACTATTAACGTACCGAGAGCTAAAAATCGAACAGCCGCTTAGCGGTGTCAAGCACAGACGGCCGGCCGGCCGGCCTGCCAAACGATCAGCTTAGCTAACCAGCCAGCAGGCCAACATGCCGGCTAAACTTCCAAACAGTCTTTCAAATTGGCTGCCAGTNAGGCAAACGATCAGCTTAGCTAACCAGCCAGCAAGCCAACATGCCGGCTAAACTTCCAAACAGTCTTTCAAATTGGCTGCCAGTTATATGTATGTATGTATGTCTGTATGTCTGTATGTATGCACTAGTTAACAGCACAGCTGCTGCACTTGATATTCAACGCTAAGCCAAATAAAGCGAAAGAGGGCACCACATCTTGTGGTGCATGCAACGACGCATAAGCACACTTGCAACTTGCAACTAAGTTATATTGCCCCACATGTGCGGCATCGTACACGGTGTCAAAGTGTTAACGTCCAACGTAGTAAACAATGACACTCCATCGATCACAAATCAAGAACCAGCTAACATCAACTACGGGAATAACCTTACGAGTCAAACCACTGAAAGCGGTCAATATATGTATATACATACATATAAGTACAACAACAACATTGTGACGCTTTGTTGCTTATGAAAAATCGTTTGCAAGGCGCAAATATGAAATTAGAGTTACACGCATACATACATACTTGTACGAGTATCTACACACGTTCGAAGACGTCTTATATGTATAGATGATGCATGAATATGGCAAGCCCAATATGACCACAATCTGCACGGATAGGATGAGCCCGTACGATTTTATTAGACTCTCGTAATTTAGGTGCTTTGTGCTGCTACCAACTAACGAGATAATAATTCAAGTAACTACGAGCGAATCGGGGGGAAATTCTAATCTATTTAACTATAGCACATCCTCGCACTTTTGCAGTGTCCGGAGGATGCATAAGAATAGGTCGATCATACTTTGAACTACCATCAAGTTATAACTTAAGAAAGTTTTATTTCATGGCAGTTGAGAAGTGCATGTGCAAAAATTTCATTAATTTAATGAATGTCCAGATATATTTTTTCGCGAAGATTGAGGCTCACTACTATTGGAGTTTGTTTAATATTTTTCGGTTTTTAAGATGACACCGTGCGACAAAAGCCAAACATTTTTCAAACACACGAAAAAGTCAATATATTCACAAAACTGGGGGTCAAATATAGTAAAACTGCGCTTTTAGTTTTTCTCTTTGATGTCAGGATTTTTTTAAAAGGACTTTGATATTTCTAAAATATGATTGAATAAAAAAATTATTTAAAAGATNGGGTCAAATATAGTAAAACTGCGCTTTTAGTTTTTCTCTTTGATGTCAGGATTTTTTTAAAAGGACTTTGATATTTCTAAAATATGATTGAATAAAAAAATTATTTAAAAGATTCGATGCATTGTAGAATAACAATATGAGTATCATTATAAAAAAAAAATAATAATTTTTGGGTGCACCAGGACGAACAATTATTGAAAATGTCGTTTTAAAACTTTATCTTTGAATATACTTGAATATTTCCAATGTTTATTTTTGAAAAAAATATACGTCAAGGACTAATATGTTAACTACCACATCCTCGAATTTCGTCCTACTAACTTTATTAGTTTTAGATAAAAAAATTTTACACTTCTCTTTATAAGATATTGATAGCTACAATATACACAAATGAAGATACTAGAATCATTACACTGTACAGCACTCCGCTGGGTATTGGACCTAACCATTTTTTTTAAGAGATTGAGTCATAGGTAAAAAAGTAATTTCTCCGTATTTCGAAGTTAGCCTCCGTAATCGAGATAAGAGCCTTCGAAGTTCGAAATAGGATCTTTGTAATGTATGTATGTAAATAACTAAAAAACTAAAAATACAGTCGTATACCGTGCTTTTGCTCTTATTTAAATGGTTTATAACTTTTTTTTTGCAAACTTATATTACAGGTGCTATAAGGGGGCAAAGATCGGGTCTTCGAAAAATTAAAAACCTTGTATTTCAAACAATTTTGAACCGATTTTTAAAAAGTTGGTATCGTTGTAAATGTCNATAACTTTTTTTTTGCAAACTTATATTACAGGTGCTATAAGGGGGCAAAGATCGGGTCTTCGAAAAATTAAAAACCTTGTATTTCAAACAATTTTGAACCGATTTTTAAAAAGTTGGTATCGTTGTAAATGTCATTAGACCCCCTTCTTCTCTTCTGATATGCATATTTGTATACTTTGTATGTAAAAATTTAAGAAAAAACATTTAAAAGGAAAAAATCCTTTTTTTATTATAAAAAAAAATATTTTAAACAAAAAAATTACTAATCGATTTTTAGGAAGTTGATATCGTTGTAAGTGCAATCAAACCATCTTTCTTCTGATATTCGTATTTGTATGCTTCGTTTATAAAAATTTGTAAATAAAACACTTAAAATGAAAAATAGCTTTTTTTATAAAAAACACAAATTTACAAAAAAATTACAAACCGATTTTTAAAAATTTGCTATCGTTGTAAAGGCGATTAAATACCCTTTCTTTGGTATGCATGTTTGAATACTTCGTATAAAAAAATTTGAGAAACAACAAAAAAATACCTTTAAAAATAATATTTTAAACAAAAAAATTACAAACCGATTTTTAAACAATTAGTATCGTTGTAAAGGATACCAGAAAACTTATACTTAAAAAAATTAAATTAAAAACATTTTTTCCCTCCATATAAACTCCACAAGGGATTGAATGGTACTTCATAACCATTCATTTTACCCTAGGGTAGCCACCTTTTCCGATGCGCAGACCCCAAGATTGAAAAATAGCATAATTTTTTTCACTTTTGTTGGTTTTTATCAACATTTCTTAACAAAGCTTTAACTAAACAAAATCACAAACCATAACAAAACATTAAGGAGATACTAAAAAAATAATGTTAAAGGCACACCATTTCTAGATAAACACGCATTACTGTAAAAATTATTTGATAAAATACGTATGCCTTACCTTGATTCACAAAAGCCCTAACTAGCAAATTTTCTGTTTTACAGACGAAGCAAAAAACATTATAAAAACTGAATCAAAAACTGCAGATACGACTTTTTAAAAAGTGGCATAACTCCATTTGTTTTTTAAAACCTACAATTAAAAATTTTTGAGAAGGTGTATTTTAATATATCCTACCTAAATCTATGATAAACGCAGTTGCGTAAAAAGTAATTGTTACGGCCTTTGTGAATTAAGGTAACGATATGTATGTAGGTGTGTATGTACATATCGCTAGCTCAGTTAATTTTCTCAAATTTTACAGTGGACGAAAAAAACCATTATCTTCAAGTATTTTACAAGACAAATCGTGTTTAAAGCAAAGAAAAACTCCCTACGCGGAGCGTTTGATACTTTTTAAAATTGCACTTACAAAAATTATCGGAAATTTAAATTGATTTATGAAATAAAGGTATAAACAGAAAAGGTATAATGAGATAAATGAAATACAAAATTTTTCACTAATTCCACAACAGAAACACGGTTGTCATCACATCAGATACTATCGATTTGCTTTGTACCACCTATTGTGTCGATTAAAATTATTCAAAGGACCATTTTCTTCCTTCGATAAAAGTGAATTTGGGAAATATTTTAAAAATTCCTTCAACGCGCACTAAAACGTTTTCTTCACTTCAAACCGATGGAGTGTCCGTATCATTTTATATGGAAAAGAAAAAAATACAAAATGAAACCAAAGGCAAAAAAAGAAAACTGAAACCAAATGAAACAGATTGTACAGGAGATTTAATAAAACAAAGTACAAAAACAAAATTATACTAGATCCTGGGTGCCGCCGGCTAGTTTTAGCTGGCATCCAGAACAACGTCCTGTGAAAATAAAAAATGCATGTTATCAGAACCTTTCTGGTGTCTATTCGCTCAAAAATAAACTACATAAATATACGAAAGATTTCACGATACAATCAGAATTGTCTGCGAATTCATCGAACTTTCGTGAATACTGTAAATTTCAACCTGCGATACTAGAACAAAAGCAACAAATTTTCTCGAAAAGAAAGATGGCTCGGCTGAAATTGAAGAAGTACATTTGCCGACAAAAAAAAAACCTGCAACCACATTGCGAAACAACTGGTACCAAACACAAAAGAGAGTTCGTTGATATGTATAGGTTCCACCGAGATCGCTGCGAACTGGCCAACACGCGGATATCGGCGTACACCAAATCGGTTACAAATCGCAGCACTAAAACAACGGCATGCAGATATTCTGATGGTTAATGAATTCAGAACAACCAAACTTTGTGCAAAGTGTTGCAACATAAACCTGACGGCCAAATCGCTACACAGATACCAATTTTGCCCAAAATGTGGTACCTGTTGGAATCGAGGCGTCAATGCTGGGAAAAACATTCTCTACCTGGGAGAATGTATCATTAACCAAGGCGAAAAACACGAAACTTTAAAAAAATAATATGTCATTATTTCATATATGGCGTAAAATATGTACATACATCTGACTGTGAAAACAGTTTGACTTTATTATGATAGGATAGGTTATTATGATATTATGGTTACTTTACGAGACCAAAAGATAAAAAAAACGAATCAGCTGATCTAATGATACTACCTGTTCAAACTGCCTTGGGTATAAATAGAATATTTTGAAATACGTACATACTTAAGGATGGCTAGTTTTACATGGAATGACATGCAAATTTCATGAATAACTACATAAAGAGAAATGCATGCGTTTTCCCGCGTATACAAATAAGCATCTTCTCCCTTTTGTTTATTTTTAATTTTTTGTTATCTTTCTTGTTAACTTCACTACAAAAATCGCTTGCAGTTTGTAAAAATATGTATGTAGTTGTCATACTTTGTATATTTTTTTTTCATATTTGTATGTATTTTCAATTCTCTGCATTTCGATTTCGAGTAGTGTACCCACTTGCCGTAAGTGCCATGTTACGAGTACGGGTACGTGTGGATTTGTGCGATGGATGGTGTAGTGTAGACCTGTGATGAATAGATCGTTATAAAAGTCAAGCGATTGATTGCGAACAGTGAGAGCTATCGTGACGTTATTTACATATGTATGTATGCACATTTTTATGATGTAAGTGTATTCATACGTACTAGGGCGATGGCTACTTGAGCGTGGGCTTCTTCAGATGTTGGTTTTTTCGCCTATTTTGAGCCAAGTGCCCATTCCAGTTCATGGAAAGCAGAAGAAGCCACAGCTTCCTTATGTCAGATTTAACATTTTACACAATTCAAACACACCCAACAAAGCGGGCAAGCATTTGATCATATATGTGCATTAGGTTGGCCCTTAAATGTAGGAAACTAATTTTTACACCAGATTTCGTAAGCCTCAACTCGTACGTCGATGCTACTATAGTCGAAGATATCACATATAAATTTAGGTTCCGGTTGGGGACGGTTAAGGCGTGTCGCACAGGGAACAAAGTTCAGATTACCCTATGAAGACGTCTTAACCGACTCCAGTCGGGACCAAAATTTATAGTTGATATTTTCGACTATGAAACTATCGATTTTGGGTATTAGATGAAAACAAAACTAATTTTAATGTTTTTAAGTCTCTATAGAGGAATCTTAACTTTGCCCCCTGTATTTAACCGTCTCCTATTGGGACCAACATTTATATGTGATATCTGTGACTGTGGCATTACCGATTGAGGGGGTGAGACTGGAAAAAGTCGTTCATTTGATTTTTTAAGGATCACCCTAATGTACATACATTTGGAACTCATCTTTATCATTCAATTACAGATTTGATTTTTACTTACAGCCATACTCGCATAGGTGTAGTATTTATGTATTTATATTTATTTATTTTTAATATAGTTTTAGTTGAAATTGAAAGCAAAGATGGATGGATGGATGTGTGGATGATACTTACCATGAAAACCATTAAATAGTAAAACAGTCAGCAAAACAAAAACCGTCTTTTGTCGCTATTGCTGTAGCTACTCTTTCGATGACGTCGATGTTGACGACGCCAATGTTGCAAGTGCTTTCGATGTTGTCGAGTGCCTTGAATAGTATGTCATATGGAAGTGTGTGCGCATGCGTTCGACCGAGTGCAAGTGCAAGTGCGTGCGTATGTGCTTAGCCTTATTTCGACCCATACTAAACCACACACACACACACTCATACATACACACACGCACACAAACAAACAGCCAGCACAGCGGCGCAGCGCAGAAAGCAATGACACCTGTTGATTGTTGTTGTTGGTTGCGTTGCCACTGTTGTTCTTATTGTTGTTGTTTTTATTGCATGTGTTATTACTTCAGCCACCGCGGTTTTATCTTCACAATTATTGCTGGCAAATGTCTGCAATAAGGAATTCAAGCAAAACTGGCACAATTGATGCAGTGGCGCACGCTTGATGCATTGTGCAAATAAATGCTTGCGGCTTGTGCAAGACTATGGATGTGGGGCTCAAGTGCCGCGCAGGGGCGGAGCCGGGCGTTGCAGCGCGGCGCGGCGCGGCGTAGGGGAGCAGGCGGTGCTTACGGTGCGTGACGCGACGTGCTGCTAGCAGCAATCATCAAGCGACCGGTGTCGTCTCCGCAGCCCATAAACGAAAAATTTACGATGCAGAAAAAGTTTGCACCACTCGACAGCGACAGGCAAACGCAGTAAATGTTGAACGAGTAAACGCGAACGCAAAATTTACTAATTTTTTATCGTCTATCGTTTTATGCTTGCATTTTCAATGATTGCAACTCTTCTTTTCCTTCTTGCAACACCCACTGCATGTAGATACTGGGTTTGTGTGTGTTTCACTTTTTTTCTCGATTGGTTAAATTTAAAGCACAACTGAATTATTGTTAATCATTCCAACATAAACACTAAAGTTGCACTTCCTGTCCTAATCAATCTGTATGTAGTACATACATAATATGATGTGTGTGTGTGTGTGTGTGTTTGGGTGAGCAGATCCGCTAAACAAAATATAGCAGCATTCTCTATAAAGTAAGTGAAGATATTTTACATATATGTAGATATACAAACCTACATACATATCATACATAGTAAGGTAAGCACACATGTGCCGTTGAATTAAGCAAAAAAGTAACACAGTGGAGGAGTCGCATTGCGAGGGTCGCGGCAATGGCAACACCTACCGCGATGATTTAACTACTCAAAGGCAGTTAAAATCGCTTGTGGCGGCTTGTCACGGCTCGGTGGCTAACACTTATTAAGCTGGGTGCGCTGATGGGTTTTTATCATTTTTTGGAATTTCAATTGTGAGCAATTGCCTTTGATTGGCACCACCCATGACTATGCAACGGCATAATGAACGCATACATGTGTGTATAATATGCAGCCATTTTGCGCATTAGGTTTGTTCTAATTCCAGCATAAATAAATTGTAGCTTAAAAGCATTGATATTAGGGTGGATTGAGTGACATGTGTGTTGAAAACTATTTGCAATAAGTTTGAAAATCAATGTGGCTTCTTAATTGAAGAGTGAACCGCATTTCTGTGTGCGAGTATGTTAGAGAAAGCCAACATTGCCGGCGCCAACGAGTCTACCATTCCCGTCGCTTCGATTCGATTTGTGTCTAAAGAAAAGCTTATCCACTCTCAGGATGGACAGTTTAATCTGCGCTACTTGAGTTTACAAATATTACAATAAAATGTATTGTATATTCAACAATTTTATTATGCTTGAGGCCATTTAGGTACGAAAAGGAAAGGATTTGCTTTTTTAGGTGGCTTTTTTTTTTGTAAATTATTGCCAGGAATGATTAGGGAAGCTTGAAACTCCGACAAATAATTAAAACGTACTTTGGTGCAGTTTTTGTACGCCTATTTATTTTAGAAAAATCGCTTTCTGTTGTAAGTCTCAGCCATAATTTGATAAAAACTACTAACGGTCGAATATTATTTGTAAAAGTTCTCTTCAGATGGATGGCATAGCGTCAGAAACTATTTCTTTTAAGAGACGTATTTTAAAAATTATAACTCGGTCTTTTGCACAGCACTCTTAAACAAATACTCCTGAGGAGCTTAACCAAACATTGGATCAATGTCTTCAGACAAATCTTTGTTTATATCTGAATATTAAAGTTCAAAATGCTAACTATTATTATATAAATAAAATCGTAACTTTAATAGGGAACCGCGACGTATGTAATTACTTGTATGCACGTCTGCATAGTCTGCAGCATCCAAATTTCAAACGTGTTGGAACGCCCATGAATCACAGAGCATTTTCATATACGTAAGTATGTATGGCAATTCGGTGTAAAAATATGTGTGTGACACTAGCTACCCCACCCTTTCTATTAACATAATATGCATAAATGTATGTATGTATGTATGTATGTACAATTACACACAGATGCGCATAAAAAATATTGTCTGATTGCATTCGGGTAATTTTTTCATACAGGCGCGCCAAAAATGCACGAATGGCAATTTACGCGCGAATCTAGGGGCGCAAATGAGCGCTGTTGAACCCCTTTGTTACAAACGCGGATGGCAGATTACGGAAATGACTTTGTTGTGTCGCGGCCGCTCCCTGTTCGTAATCCAAAGTGTAATTTTTGAGGTTCGCATGGAGCGCTTGATGGATGATGCGCTCCTCCTCAAGCGCTCCATTTTTTATACAATGAATGAAAAAATGTGCGATACGGTCGAATATCTCAACGTTTATGCTCTCACCGTTTTGAAGGTTTTTAAACCAAAAAAAAAAATAATATAAAAAAAATCAAGTGATCACTTGCTTAGGTCAATGTTCCCAAGGGCATTTTCTTTCCAAATGTCCTTTGGAACTTTTTATAACAGGCAACTTGGCGTTAACTAGTGGAACTATGGGACCAGAGCTTACTATCACACGAATAGTCGTGGGACCGAAACCAGTGACTTTTAACACTAATGCTTGAAACGCATTTAAAGAAACCACCGACCAAGGGCTACTCTACTGTGGCTAAATGGTTAGAGGTGCGTACTACCACTCCGAAAGACCTGGGCTCGATCGCTGTTGTTTTCTAATAGTGGTCGCAAACCTCCGAGTGTATTTGTGCCATGAAAAGGCTTTTCAATAAAATTAATTTTTCGTTCGGAGACGGCGTAGAACTGTAGGTCCCTCCATTTTGTGTAATAACATTGGTACGCACACTTAGAAAAAAAGTGTAAGCGCCAAAATATTATACTATCTACTATTATAGTCTTATGTAAATAGATAATTATTTTAGCGACGATAGAGCTACTACACCGCGAGAGAGATTAGATCAAATCCTATTTTTGGCCATTGTTAAAGCGTTTAGATAATGCCGTTAAAAACTTGGCAACTGTGGATTGAAGTCCAGTCCCGTTATGAAACGTATGTATGTAGTGTTCGGAACCGTATTTGAACTGTTATTCTTGCAAAAGGTTGTAATTCCAGCATACATTGAATAATACCTAGCAAAGAATGCTCCTTATGCGATTTTTCGCGCGGCCAACGTTGCCGCCGCCGGAGTTTCATTGGATACAGATGAATATAGCTTTGATATAGCTATGAAGTAACACTATTGATCTGCGTCTAAATACATACTTACAAATGTGTGCAAGTACATATATGCATAGTTACGTAGTATGTATTTAAATAACATCCTAGCAAATCTTTCCTGTTTGCAACCCTTCCTTTCTTCCTATAACATACAAGACATATTCCAATTTGAATGAAACTGCAGCGTCGGAAAGTAAAGATTAAAGCAAAAACGATTGATTAATTAAAAAACAAACATTGCATATTAGTAGGGAAAAGTTTGGACCAAAGATAAACACTTCGCCTCTATTGTATTTGGATCTGCGATAGTTAACTCATTGATGTTTGATTTTTTGCTACGATACGAGTACTTTTGTTTTTTAATGCAACTCCAATTTTAAATACATAACTAACTATGATTGTTGCACGTGTTCACAACCGGTATGAGATTAGCAAATGCTTCTCTACAGCACCACAATTGAATTGTACGTAGAGCGCGACGAAAACAGTAAACAACAACACACTCCAATTAGCCGGTGTTGATCACAACATGCTTCTGCCGTATTTGTTGATCTAAGCGCGCGAACGTCACACTACCTTGCAGAAAAATATCGGACTGGATGCTTCGAATGCGCCTGCACCGCAGTCAGGGCTATGAAGTGTTGGAAGCACCATCGCCAGCGATCACTGTTGGATGTAGAGGCGCTCGGACAAGTTCCCCATACCCGCGATGGAACATACAGTCGCACAGCCGTAACGTCGCAAACAGCAAAGGCAAATACGAAAATTCGAATTAAACTCACCACACTACCTGTCGGCACGTCGGCTGTGAATTTCATGTGGGAGCGCTTCTTTTTTAGCTTTTGCCGTCAGTGTGCTTCTTTATTTTCTCGTATTTTGTTTTAATAATAAATACTCCATACAATTCAGCTGACTTAAGTATGTATGTATGTACTACATAAATGTGTGCATCTGTATGTAGACAGACATAGATAGACTTTAGCATCCGTTTAGTCGTCTCTTATTTGAGCCACCGGCAGTCGAGAACCCGCAGCAGCTGTTGTCATTGAGTAGTAGTAGTAGTAGTAGTTGTTGTTGTTGTTGTTATTGTGTTGTGTTGTGGTTGTTTTATATTTTGCTTCCGACGCTGTTATAGCACTGTTATTGCTGTCCACTGATCGGTTGATTACTTTACCGTTGCTTAAGGTGGAGCTACGCCAAATGACGACAAGTTTGAGCTCGCCTCATTTGGTACGACAACGAACGAAACGAAAGCACAAAGACGCTGACGTTGGGTGTATTGGTGTTCCTGTTGCTGTTGGTTGGTGATTGCTCCGCTCTTCACTAGCCAAGTGTGTATTGGTGTATGTGATTTTGTTCAGGGTGGTATATTTGACGAATGCCTTTGCAGAAAACTTTTTCACATGCAATAATAATGCAAGCAAACATACACAACATACATACATACATACATATGTATGTATGTACATGCAAGTGATCTATGAGCATGATGATGCTACAAACGATATGCATATCGAGCAACATTAACTCTCTCATTATGCTAATGCGAATTGTGAATGCCCGCAGAGTGCGGACTATTAGCTAATAGGGTAGCGTTTTTCACTTTTTTATTA